TGTGGTGACATTTGTGGTGTCCTGGGCTCGTGTGAGCAACTTCTTGCAACCTTCTGACAAGCGAAGTCGTGGTTAACAACCGCGTTACCATCTCAAGGGCAGCGGGGGTTCACTTAACAGCGATGGCAAAGAAGGTTGTACAATGGAACAAAGATCGCCGAAGAACTGTCTCACTTAGTCACAGAACGTATGGGTTCAATTGTGATCGCAAGCTGAAGGCTACCTGTATATCCAACCTTTTATTCGGAAGTGCGAAGCAATGAATGGGTCCTGCCTTCTTGTTTTTCCCCCCTCAACAGCCAGTCCGGAGGTGGGGTAGGCTGAAAAACAGTGAGGTTCTATGACGAAGGGAGAAATTAAAAGTAGGGCTTGCCACTCCTGGTTCAAAGCCTTAACCACTAGACCATGCAGCCTCTCCAATATCTTTTTTTAACAGCTTATTGATTGTCCTTCCTGGTATTCGGATTTCAAAGCGCGAGTCGTCTGCATAGACGATTTGATACAGCAAATTAAGTGATTTGTTCAATTGATAGGACACTGAAATCTGATAACTCTTGTGCGTCTCCATGTTTACACATTCCTGGCTCATGTTCAGGCATTGCACACATATATATACTTGTTCCTCTTGTGGGAAAAACCAATTTAGGTCAGGAGAACAGGCCGACTGATTTAGGAACCCGCAGCTATTTTGGCCTAGAAATCAGCTGCCGCTGCTCTCGCATAAGAGTCTTGATATATCCATATAAACGACATTAAGTGGTTTTGAATCAGAGAGATTAAGCCATCCCATTCAGAATTGGAGTTGAAAGGGACCTTGGAGGTCTTCTAGTCCAACCCCCTGCTCAAGCAGGAGACCCACACCATTCCAGACAAGTGGCTGTCCAGTCTCTTCTTAGAAACCTCCAGTGTTGGAGCATTCACAACTTCTGGTGGCAAGTTGTTCCGGTGGTTAATTGTCCTCACTGTTAGGAAATTTCTCTTTAGTTCTAAGTTGCTTCTCTCCTTGATTAGTTTCCAACCATTTCTTCTTCTCCTGCCTTCAGGTGCTTTGGAGAATAGCTTGACTCCCTCTTCTTTGGGGCAGTCCCTGAGATATTGGAACACTGCCATCATGTCACCCCTGGTCCTTCCTTTCATTCAACTAGACATACCCAGTTCCTGCAACTGTTCTTCATGTGCTTTAGCCTCCAGCTCTCTAATCATCTTTGTTGCTCTTTTCTGCACTCTTTCTAGAGCAGGGGTCTCAAACACAATTTACCTGGGGGCCGCTGGAGGCAGAGTCTGGGTGAGGCTGGGCCGCATATTATACTTTATATTATACTTTATATTTATATTACACACTAATATTATACTTTCATATCACGGTGGGGGCCACAGGATATCGTCCTGCGGGCCGCAATTGGCCCACGGGCCGCGAGAATGAGACCTCTGTTCTAGAGTCTCTACATCTTTTCTATAATATGGTGACCAAAACTAGATGCTGTCAGGGCCCCAACAAATCCACCCTCATTCAAAGCGAAAGTCTCTAGCCGCATCTCAGAAAAAGTAAATTGGTTTATTAGAAACTGCCATGTTGGCGCGTGGCTGGGTGCAGCCAGTACTAAATCACATCATACATTTCCCCCTTGACCCCGGTCTTTCCCCCACCCCCTGGATGTGACTTCTCCAGTAGGACACATCAGTCTCTAAGAGTCATCCATCATGCTCTCCAATAACCTTCTTACGCTCCGACAACTTTGGGCTGCTGAGTTGATTATCTAGGCATTTCAAGAATGCCTTGTTTTCCCCCCACTCCCTTTTTCTGGCAGCTAAAAAGACCAAAGGAGTCTCTTTTTAGTTGACAGATGCAGTATCTAAACGTGGTCTTACTAAGGCTTTATAAAGTGCTACTGATGCTTCACATGATCTTGATTCTAACTCCTCTGTTAATGCAACCTAGGATTGCATTGGCTTTTTTGGTTGCCGCCGCCATTCCTTCTGTAACAGAAGTCTCCTTACTGAACTGACGTGCCTCATGCACGTGGATATTTGTACACGTCGTTTTGCTCCCAGGGGAAAAGTTTCCAATCTTTTCCATGGAATTCCCCCTTCAGAACAACCTATTGATAATCAAACTAGGCTTCTGTTTAAGGAAGATCCACTCCAATAATGCCTGGATTGTGAAAATACTTAACGGTGTACCATTGATTTTGTTTCAAAACAGTGAAGATGATTTATGTGAGAAGATTCCTTACTCCATTATGAGGGATTATAGACAGTTTCATTTATATATGGTTGGAGGTGATTCATTCACTCCACTTCTTAAATTAGCCCCTAAAGTCCAAACGGAGAGCAACGTGAGGGATAGAAATGATGATAACAGAAACGCACGTGTGAGATTTCAGACAGGGGATGTGCAACCTCTGGAACAATGCCTGGAAGCTTGCCTTGCAAATGTCCCCTTTTCAAAATAAACACCAGTTATTATCCTTCAGAGATTGCATGTTCAGGCTTCTCAAGGCATGGACGGACACAACTCCCAAAAGTACAACTGGGCCTTTTAGCGAGTCAAAAGAAATGCTTGACTAGTCTGCCTAGGGCTGGCAATCGGATAATATTGTTGTCGTTGTTGTTCAGTTGCAAAGTCGGGTTCGACTCTTCACGGTCCTACGGCTTCCATTAAGTATCCATCACAGAGAGAGAGTCATTTGTATAAATATTTATGAAATATTTCAGAATATAAACACAGAGCCAAATTTGAACAGGCGTCAATTTATATCTCACCTCCTTTAAATCCCAGCTTTCACATTTTATTCATGATTTTCCTGGAAGGAGATCGGGATATAATATAGATATACAGCTCTGGTTATTGCGGTCTTCTTCCCTTCTTGGTTTTTTTTAGCTTTATATTAATTTTTTAAAATGGAAGTCGACTAATAAGCAATCCCTGAGTTATCCTTAGTAATCCAGCACATTAATTCCTACAAGACTTCACAGGGAGAGAATAACTTGGCTTATGGCACGCTTAGAATTCTTCAGGACCAAAATATGGAGTTGGATTCAAGAAATAGTGGAAGATCGGATAGAGTTTAAACTGGAATTGTTCTTGTTGGGAATAATTAAAGGAATATATAGTAAAAAGATTAAATATATTCTACTACATATATTGACCCTTGAGACTTTCAGGAAGAGATTGGACTGCCATTTATCAGAAATGGTGTAGGGTCTCCCACTTGGGGGGTGGGGGTTGGACTAGATAACCTACAAGGTCCCTTCCAACTCTGATTATCTGTTATCTGACAGCAGCAAGGATAGCATTTGCACAATGTTGGAAACAAGATAACACGCCTGTCAGAGGAATTAGTAATTCAAAAAAATTTAGATTGTGCTGAAATGAATAAACATATGTTAAAATTAAAGGATAAAGAAGAGACAGATTATTATGAAGTTTGGGACAATTGGTACGAATGGTTGTACAATAGAAATAAGAATAATAGGGATAAGAAAATTGTAGACAAATGTATATGAATATATATAAATGTATATATTTATATGAGATTAGTATATGTAATAATGATGTCACTGTACCATTAATGTTAAGATCAAGATTTGTAAAAATGTGAGAAAGAATAAAATAGTAATAATAATAATAATAATCATCATCATCATCATCATCATCATCAACATCGATGAGAAACAACTTGACAAAAACATCAGTTATCAAGACTTGAAAATCGAACTGCAGAGACTCTGGCATAAACCAGTGCAGGTGGTTCCAGTGGTACTTGGCACACTGGGTGCTGTGACTAAAGACCTCAGCAAGCACTTAAAAACAATTGGCGTTGACAAAATCACCATTGATCAGCTGCAGAAGGCCACCTTACTGGGATCTGCTCACATAATCCGCCGATACATCACGCAGTTCTTAACGCTTGGGAAGTATTCGACTAGTGATTTGTGATACGAAACCCAGCATGGTTATCTCGTTTGCTGTGTACACGGTTACACGGTCGTTTTTTGTGTCTAATAATAATAATAATAATAATAATAATAATAATAATAATAATAATAATAATACCCTGTTTCTCCAACAATACGGCCTCCCCCAATAGGAAGTCCCAGCATGTTTTATAGGCATGAAATGAAATTAAGCCCCTCCCCCCAAATTAAGGCCTATATTAAAACATGCGAAATGGGGGGGGGGAATGTTGGGGGGGGCTTGCTGTTAGGAAATATTTTTGTTGCACACCCGAATATGGTGCTGCCTGCGTTGACCCCGATACGAAGTGCCCCACCAACGCCGAGGTCAACATCCAAGCCGTCGCCGCCCGCCCACCCAAAGATGCAAGAGGCGGGGAATTGTCACCCCCGAAAAGACAGCCTAGCCATTTTTTCGGGGCTCAAAAAAAAAAAAGACCCGGCCTTATTATATGAGAAACACGGTAATAATAATAATAACAACAACAACAACAACAGTAGTAGTAGTAGTAGTAGTAGTAGTAATACTAGAATTCTTCAGTAGCCCATTGGCCAGGTTACCCAAGATTCGATTCACATCCCAAAGGCTGCTGTTTGTACTGATTTAATTATAGACCCAATTGTTTATCCCAGTGTATCTGTAATAGTATTCTGGACGTTTGTCATATCCCCTCCGCTCTTCTTACTGTCAGTCATTCCATTTGTTGGAAGTCAGAGGACACCAGTACAAACGGACGTGGTTGGCACACTGTGGCCTGCTGATGGGCCCCTTTGAAAAGATCTGTGGGTAGCGTATAGCCCTTTGAATTTGTCCCCCAATATCAGGTCAGCGCCAACTGGTTTTACCACACAGGCGGCCCTCAACTTACGACAGTCACAACCGAGCCCAAAATTTCCAAGCCAGGCGGTTGTTGAACTTCAGTTTTGCCCCATTTTACCGCCTTCCCTGCCACCGTTGTTGAGCGAATCCTTCCAGTTGTTATAAGCTAGCAACATGGTCTTTAAGTGAATCTGCCTTCTTTCTCTCTCTCCCATCGTTCCAGTGCAATTCGATATGATGCGTGCCTGCAATCTGATTGCCACCGTCGCCCTGACGGCCGGTCAGCTCCTCTTCGTGTTGGGACTGGTAGAACTGCCCATCATTTCCCAGGACACCCAGTGGTGGGAAGAAGCCATCGCCGCCGTCTTCCAGCTTGCCAGTGAGTACCTTCGGTTGCGGGAGCTGAAAAGGGCCTCGCCTGGGAGAAACCAAGGGCTCCCGTTTCAAACCCTTTCCGATTAGGTGGAAGCGTGGCCCACGTTGGTAGGAATCCCTTTCCAGAACTACAGCCGTGGTGGATGTGTGGGCCCCCGTTCCTTCTCCATTCAAAAATAAAAATGGAGGGAGGGAGGGGAGAACTTCAGTGGAATGATGGGGTTCCTCTAAAGTATCGGTGGCCAAGAATTTTCTTCTTCTTTTTTTCAAGATAAATCAATGTGTTTCTAGGTTGCTGCGAGCAGTGCTCGTACTATGAGGCTATTTTCTCTCTCTCCCTCTCTCTTTCTTTTTGCTCTAGTCTCTGCTTCTCTTTCTCTCTTTCTCTCTGTTTGTCTCTGTCTCTGTCTCTCTCTTTCTCTCTCTCTCTTTCATTGTCTCTGTCTCTCTGTCTCTCTCTTTCTTTGTCTCTGTCTCTCTCTTTCTCTCTTTTTCTGTCTCTGTCTCTCTTTCTCTCT